TTTAAAGAAATATTATATTATATATGTTGATTGATTTTTATTTGCTTTTACAATAAATGCATATTATCTCAATCTTATTATATTTTCAAAAATTTGACTATTTTCCATGACTGTTAAATTCTCCACCACAATTCAACTTAGCCAAGTAGGTATTTCAAGTTTCAATTCTCTCAATAGTTTTTCCCCTTATCACCTACTCAATTCTTGAGAAAATCTGAGAAAATTGAGAGATTAATAGTACTTGAAATAGTTTTTTTTTTAGTTGTCTTGTTAGGCAATGGTGTTAGGTTTTTTTTGGTTGTCTTGTTAGGCTATGGTGTGGGTTGGTATTCGAACTATTGGTGGGGTATCTTTTGGACTGGAAAACCAAAATGGTTTGTCTTTGTTTGATGGACAACCAAATCAAAGAGAAATACGTTTGGTGGAAAATTATTTGTTCAAAAAAGTAGAAAGATCGATGTTGGACTTTTATAAAGAAGTCAAAAATAACTTGAGTTTTTCAATTCTCTCTGTCTATCACTTCTCTACAATTGCTTACAAGTTTTCTTAGTTACATTTTCTTGACCATATTTGTCAAGTAAATGTGCAAATTGACATGCAAAAAATATGATATATGTAAATCAATGTTGCACCTTTTATAAAGAAGCCAAAGATAACTTGAGTTTTTCAATCCTCTCTATATCCATCATGTCCCTGCAACTGCTTACAAGTTTTCTTAGTTACATTTTCTTGACTATATTTGTAAGTACATGTGAAAATTGACATGCTATAAAAATGATGTATGTACATGCCAATATGTAATGCAAGAGTGGAAGGGTTTCCAATTGAACTGGGAACCAATTTTTAAATTTTGAATTGAAATCATAGTACCATGATTAAAACTCAATTAGGTCTTTCGTCAAATTTGTTTATAATCTTTTCCTTCTTTCAGGTATAGAGTGCATCCTTAATTTTTTTTATTAATCATTCAAAATTGTTCTAAAAAAATAAAAATGTAAGAAATTAACAAATACATAAAGTTTGAAATGAGAATTGCAGTAAATGATTATATTACGTATTTTGCTCACCCCATTCAGAGCAAGTGATTATACATTATATTAAATAATCTGTTGATATTAGTATTTATCTACTAATATTTGTTATATATATACATGTATATATATTAAGAAATGCAAGTAAATAATCTTTTAAAATTATTAATTCTAATTTTTAAATTAAAAAAATACCTTTTTACATCACGCCATGACAAAAGGAAAATTTTCTTACTAAAATTTAAATTACTAATTAAAATCATATTAATATAATGTGATTGTAATAGTTAATTACTCCACCTAATTTCAAAGTAGGAAAATAAGAGAGGAGTTGGAAATGTAGATTCGAAAATGACATCTACCATGCAATATTACATTTTATATTCATTTATTTTTGTTTTGATGAAATATATTTAATTATTAGTATATCTCAATTTATTTTTGTTTTGATGGAATATATTCAATTATTAGCACACCTCAATTTAAAATACTCTATATATACTCTTCTAGAGTACTCTATTACGACGAACAAAGATATGGGGATTTTCACAGTGCTTTGTACACCACTCTGCCTTCTGTTTTTCTTCCTCTGTCTTAAAGCTGCCTTCTCATCCTCTATACATGCTTCTTCCCTCTCAGCAGCACATCTCTGCTCTCATGAGGAGGCTCTTGCTTTGCTGCAATTCAAGGCCTCCTTTTCCATCAATTTCATTGCTTCTAATCCTGATTTATGTGAACATTATTATACCAAACCTTATTCTAAGACTGAATCATGGAAGGAAGGTATAGACTGTTGTTCCTGGGATGGGGTTAGCTGTGAGAATGTCATAGGTCATGTAATCGCCCTTGATCTCAGCTGCAGTCTCCTTTTTGGTACCTTTCCTTCCAACAGCACTCTTTTTCTCCTCAAAAACCTGCAGAGCCTCAATCTTGCCTTCAATGATTTTAGGCTGTCCAAGATTCCACCAGAAATTAGTCAGTTTACGAGACTGAAGCATCTTGATGTTTCTTCTTCTCGATTTTTGGGCCAAGTTCCAGCAGAAATTGCTCACCTCCCCAAGTTAGTTTCTCTCAATCTCTCCAATCATTATGATTCTTCTCACTTGATCCTTGAAACAACTACCTTCAAAAATCTTGTTCATAACTTGAGTGAGGTGAGAGAACTTGATCTTCGTGGAGTGAACATGACATCTGTTAATCCTCGTTTCTTCATGAATCTCTCTTCTTCTTTGACTACTCTTGATCTTTTCAACAGTGGGTTAAGAGGAAATTTTCCAAACAGTATTTTCCACTTTCCAAATCTCAAGAATTTTTATTTAAGTGGAGAGCCAAACCTCACAATTGATCTTCCAAGTTCCAATTGGAGCAGTCCTCTCCAACGATTGTATTTAGGTGACATGGATTGCGGACGGCGATTGCCAGAGTCTATAGGAGATCTAAAGTCATTACAGTATCTGTGTCTTATCTGCAACTTGGAAGTTTCCATTCCAGCTTCCATAGGTAAGTTAAGGCAACTTACTAGCCTATACCTCTGTCTTAACAATCTCAGCGGAGAAATCCCATCATCACTTGCAAACCTCACCCAACTTAGTGATCTTGACCTTTCAAATAATCAGTTTTCTGGTCCCATTCCAACTTCCATAGGTAACTTAAGGCAACTTACTAGACTAGCCCTTTATTCTAACGATCTTAGCGGAGAAATCCCATCATCACTTGCAAACCTCACCCAACTTAGTGATCTTGACCTGTCACATAATCAGTTTTCTGGTCTCATTCCAGCTTCCATAGGTAACTTAAGGCAGCTTACTAGACTAGCCCTCTATTCTAACAATCTTAGCGGAGAAATCCCATCATCACTTACAAACCTCTCCCAACTTACCTTTCTTCACCTTTCAAATAATCAGTTTTTTGGTCCCATTCCAGCTTCCATAGGTAACTTACAGCAACTTACTGGACTAGCCCTTTATTCTAACAATCTTAGCGGACAAATCACACCATCACTTGCAAACCTCACACAACTTAGTGATCTTGACCTTTCACATAATCAGTTTTCTGGTCCCATTCCTTTTCATGCTATTAGGTTTTCCAAACTAATGCATCTAGACTTGTCTTATAACTTACTTAATGGCACGTTGCCGCCTTGGATTTTCACCCTGCCTTTGTTAGAGTACTTTTATCTCAATCATAACCAATTTCAAGGTCAAATAAGTCAATTCCAGCAAAACTCACTCACACACATAGATTTGTCAAACAATAAACTCCA